AGTTTTTTTTTAATCTATTTTGTTTATTGAGGCTTTAGCCACCTTGGGAGACTATGTCAGCCTCATCGGAGGAATACTGGGTTCCCTACTCAAGGGACATGTTCAAAAACTGGTACAAGTTTAGAGCGCCAAGACATACAGGCTCTCTCTCAGAAGCTCTGGCTCAGAAGCCAACAATTAATTTGTCCATTGTCCAAACTTACATCACCAAACATTGTACCTCTCAGGGATACATCTCTAGAGTTACATGGCATTATAATAAGTCTTGAAAATAACAAGAGTGAGAAACATTTTTAAACTTCAAACTGCCAGATCTCGAAAGTGAGTGGACGTGGATTGGTTCCTTTTTTTTTTTTTTTTTTTTTTTTTTTTATACCTGACAGGCAAATGACTCCACTCCACCTGATGTTAAGTGGAAAGTTGTATCCAAACGCGAAGGAACCTAGTGCAGCGATGGAATCCTCACTGCACTAGCCGCCTTCACCCTGCCTGCCTACAATATGCCTCTTCACGCCTCGTTTGAAGAACCCCATATCATAAGAGGGAGGGAAGACATGTGCCGGAAGGGAGTTCCATTTGTCAACCGTGCGGCAGAGAAAGGAGCCACCGAACCTTTTAGTACGCGATGGAATGCGGCAGGTAGTGAAACGGTGACTACGAAGGCCAGCACGCGTGCTTCTGAGCAGGAACGGGGAAGGGGGGATGAGGTTGAACAGCTCCTCAGAGCACTCACCATGGTACATGCGGTAAAAGGCGCTAAGCGATGCAACATCTCTACGCAGTTGCAGAGGTTCAAGGCGTGATGAGACCTCTTCGTCGCCTATAATTCTAGTAGCACGACGCTGTAATTTATCCAAGGCATCGAGTAGGTACTTGGCGGAGCCGTCCCACAAGTGCGAACAATACTCAACGCAAGACCGGACCTGTGTTTTGTACAGCAGGCATAACTGGTCCGGCGTGAAAAAACGTCGCACCTTGTTCAGGACTCCGAGTTTCCGTGAAGCTGTTTTGATCACAGATTCGATGTAGCTCCTTGGATTCAAATCACAGCAGATTTCCATACCGAGCAAGGTGAAACTGCTCTGAGGTGAAAGTGCTGTGCTCATCAGAGAAGGCATGGGAAGGAACGGCGACAATTTTGTTGTTAACGCGCAAACCTGTGTTTTCTTGGCGTTGAACTCAACAAGATTACTGGATCCCCATGCAGATATGAGTTCCAATATCCTATTGAGCTCAACGACAAGATCAGATCGCTCTCTGTCAGTATCGGCGCGCCCAGCTGCGGGGAATCCATGATATCCCCCATGAACAGTGCTATCATCTGCATAACAATGAATATTCCCAAGTGGAAGCATATCATTGATATGCAGAAGGAAAAGCGTGGGAGATAGGATAGATCCCTGCGGTACGCCGGCGTTCACATTCACGAACCTCGAAATGCTGCCGTCAGAAACGACGCGAATTCTCCGCTCACGAAGGAAATCGGCAATCCAGCTGCATAACTGGGCTGGCAAACCGTACGCCGGGAGCTTGGAGAGAAGAGCTTTGTGCCAGACCCGATCGAACGCTTTGGCTATATCGAGGCTAACAGCCAACGATTCGCCACGTTTGTCTATAGCCTCACCCCAAATATGCGATAAGTACGCTAGAAGGTCACCCGTTGATCGTTTCGGACGAAACCCATACTGCCGATCATTAATTATGGAGTGATCTTCTAGGTATTGGGTCAGTTGTTTATTAAGGATCCGCTCTAAAACCTTGCATATTATGGAAGTAATGGCTATGGGACGGTAATTATGCGGGTCTGATCGGTCGCCTTTTTTGGGAACTGGTTGCACATTAGCCTCTCTCCAAGAGTCCGGCACACGACCTGAAGAGAGCGACAGACGATACAGTCGCGTTAGCACGGGAGTCAACTCAGCTGCGCAATTCCTAAGTACAATCGCTGGGATACCATCAGGACCACTAGCTTTCCGGACGTCGAGAGACTGCAGCTGCGTACGCACATCGCATTGTCTGATACGAATATCAGACATCGTGTAGCCACAGTGAGGTAGAGTTGGTGGCTGTGCGTTACAGTCGTCGAGACAGGAGTTAGCCGCAAACAGATTTGCCAAGAGGTCGGCTTTATCTTGCGGCTTGTGGGCTAGATTGCCGTCAGAATATCTCAGCGGTGGCAGCGAGGGCTGGCAGAAGTTCGACGCAACGGCTCTGGCCAGACGCCAGTAGCTACGACTACCTGTGGGATGCGTCAAGAGTTCTTGGCCAACTCGTGCGACGCGCTGAGCATCCGCTCTGATGTACGCTCTTTTGCAAGACCTGGTGGCATTATTGTAGGCTGTTTTAAGTGAGTTCGTATTGGGATCGTCTGAAGCTAGACCCCTGATCCAAGCGCGGTATGCAGTCTGTTTGTTCTCAACAGCCACAGCACACTCGCGGTTGAACCAGCGGTTGCGCCTCCCTTTACTGACGAGATCCGAATGCGGGATGTAGTATTCCATCCCGATTAAGATCTCATCAGCAACGGCAGTCGCGCTAGCTGTTGGATCCACCTCACTAAAACAGCGCTGCCGCCAGGGAACGGATGCAAAATAGTCCCGCATACCGTCCCAATCTGCCGACGCATAATGCCAAATGCGGCGTTTAGCCACAGTAGGTGGTGGTGGCAGTAACGTTGCCACTTTAGTGGATATCAAGCAGTGATCCGAAGTGCCCAGAGGGGCTTGGACCACCACCCGATATCCAGCCGGGCGAGACGTCAGCAGAAGGTCCAACAAAGAGGGCGCGTCACCAACCCTATCTGGAATCCGGGTGGGCTGATTCACCAGTTGGGTTAAATCGTGTGTGAGAGCGAATGTGTGGGCAGTTCTTCCAGCATGGTCAGTTTTAGAGGAACTTAACCACGATTCGTGGTGAGCATTGAAGTCCCCTAAAAACACCAATTCCGCTGTAGGAAACTGCGCCTGCGCGTCATCTGCCGCCCGAGTAAGGTGGTCCATGAGACGAGTTGTCTCCATGTCGCCGTGGTGGGATCTGTAGAGGCACATGTAGACACGGCAATGACTGCCCAGGTCAACATGTACCCCAAGGATGGAGAAGGAGGGGTCCTCCAAGTGACGCAGACGGCGACAGCAAACATCTGCCCGGACAAACAAGCAGACCCCAGCTTTCGCTTTGAAGGACTCTTCAAGCATATAGCCAGGGTAATTCAAGTAGCTGCTGTCAGCCGGGCAGAGTATTTGGGTCTCCGTAAGGAACAGCATTTCTGGTCGAGCCGTCTCAAGATGTTGATGGACGGCGTGGATGTTACTGTGGAGTCCTCGAATGTTCGTGAACTCCACCTTAAAGAGCGCTTTAGTGGTGGGGGTGTGCACCGCTGTACGACCGAAATTTGTACTTTGCGCTAACATGTTGGAGGGAAAAAGAGGCGTGAAGCGAGAAAACAGTGCCGCGACACAAACGGTCAAATCGCGGGGCCTGCTTCCCCAGAGACTTGCCTACAGACAAGTTGCGCTGATCCGCCGGACGGAAGGGCCCCCGAACCCCCCCGGGAATGGCCGCCGGGACCCCACCTCCCGGTCACCAACCGGCACGACGAACCACACCGAGATTATGCGCGGCATGGTGAGGCAGCCTCACGAGCTGGTTAAGCACGCTTGGGCCCCTGTACTGTACCGCGGGCGGCCAGCGGAACAACAGTTTCTACGGGTCTCCCTGGCCGGCGGGTCAATGCAGTTGTCCTGGCACTGGTTCGGCGGAAGCCTCCACAGACCACAAATGTCGCGGCAGCGTTCCCTCGGGCTCTGGTTGTACGCTGACTGATCCCGGAACGCATCCGACTAGCGAATACTTGGCTGGTTTTCCATCATGCGCACGGTGGTCACTAACCAGGCGGGTTTTCAAGCCCTACCACCAGTGGAGCAGCTGGTTGCTCAATATCCCTTAGTCGCCTCTTACGACACCCACGGGAAGAGAGGGGCGGTGAATTGTATTCTAATCCGTCACCGCACGGTTAAAACTCGGTTTAACTACGTTCAACTTGAACTCAATGTTTTTCCGTACTAGTACGGTTCATTTTGCTTGTTGCAAGCGACAGGGACACCGGCTTTATTTCAGAATTTATTTTTTTACAAACGAAATTAAAACCATTTGAAAAATGTATATCGTATACTCATTGACTTACAAATAAATGGACGACGGGTAATACAAAAACCACGAAAAAAATGTCCCAAGTCAACCTATTCGAAATTTAAATTGTAATGTCATCGCAGTATCGCGCTGTCAGTAGAACAAATGAAGACTAAAGCGGAGTGTCGCGCTCTGTATACGATTTTAGCGCCTTACAAGTGCGGACACTTTTTAGCGCGGACCCGACGTCCATATAATTGTAAGTCAATGCGTATACTATTCTATTTAGTTCAGTTGATGTAAAAAAAAAATATTGGCATGTGTCAAGTACCTATTGAATAAAGTGTCTATTCTGAAAAATTTCGAAGTAAGTTTGTTTTTTCTTCTATCTTGAAAATTTTTAAGAATCGTGTTTTCATACCGTATAAGTCATCCGTGTATATCCTCAATTGTGCTATATATTTTTTCCAAAGCGATTGATTCAACACTTACACTGCTATGCTGAATCAACCAAATGCCAAATGTATCACATAAATGCCAAAGATTACAGTGCCGACTTAGGAGCTGGTTGATTGGCGCTAGCTTTGTGTCAGTATGGGACAGCACCGGTAGAACAGCAGTTACCTTTATCCCCACTTTTACAACTTACTCCTGATCCCTCCACCTGAATTCGTAGACTTATGAATATTTTCGACCTTTGAGTATATAAACACAAATTTGGTCGTCAAGCGTCTGAATCGACACCGATAGCAAAACGACTCAATAGGAAATCTTTAGTATCGGTGAAGTTTACGTTCAACGGAAATAAAAACCTGTGATAAATTCTACTCTTCTGGTATTCAAGATATACATAGTACACAAATGATACTCACTTCTCCTCAAAAACGGCACATGATCATCCTCGATTGCAGCTCTGGAACTCCTCAGTCGGAAGTAAGTCTGTTCAGCTTTCCCGACGGAGTATCCAGTGAGCTTGTTCATGTTAGCCAACCGCTGCTCCGCTTGGGCCAAAAGCACGTACCACCTCTCCGTGGATTTGAAGTAGCTGTAGAACACTGGATCTGGTGCACCGAGGAGGTCCAGGAGCACGAATAAATCCTGCCGAAAACGTGAGGGTTAATAAGATTACTAGCAGCAGGAAAGCTCCTTATTAAAGACTAAGAATGGATCTGGAGTAATTAGTAGGAGCACGCAATATTATGTTTTCAGTGTACTATATGTGGATTAGGGATGCGGCAGACGTCTGCATTTGCATCCGCTAACGCGGATCACCCGCATATTTTTAAATATCTGCTTCCGTATCTGACATCCGAATCAATCGAAGACTTTTTGCGGATACACATGTTTGCAGTTCACTACAGGATTTTAGTAGCAGTGGAGCTCCTTGTGAAAAAGTTCGTCGAAGGAAGTACTGCCGCCATACCTATTTCTGCCGCCAAGCCGTAATGTGAGCATTACTGTGTTCCGGTTTTGAAGTATAAACGCCCAGTTACACGACGCGAAAGTTTTCGCGCGGCGGCCGCCCTGTTAAAGTCAGGCCACACAGACGCGGTATAGCGGGAAAAGCGGTTCGGGGTCGAGGCTGCGGGAAGCGAATGTGTGCCGGGGCATGCCACACACCAGTCCCGAGTGTAGTTCGCGGCGGGACAGCGGCACGAAGGCGGCCGGTGTGACAGCAAAACCGTCACGCCACATTTCATTTTCAACACAAATAAAGAAAGGACCATATCACTGTCGGATAGTGATGAAGAAGAACTTCTTTAAGCGCCAACTTTTGTAAGAGGTTGCCATGGTAGTCTAGGTAAATTGACAATTGACATGAAAAAAAATCTGCTAAAAATTTCAAGAAAAAAATTAATACATAATTTTTTAGTGCTGAAACTTCAGTAATTCGGGCTTTTTTTGGCATTGTGTTCATTAGCTGGGCTGTTTCGAGTTACCGTTACAAAAACTAGAATTTTAGTACTTAAAAATGGTGTACAGGGCGTACATTTTCAACATTTTTCATTAAAATGCTTATATTACAAAAACAAAATGACTCCGATTTTTAAACATTTTTTTCTGAGTTGTTACGAACTAGGCAACACCTGTTCCCAGGTTATCGTTGAGTTTTGGAACACCCTGTATACTTACTTTGAAGGTTAATGTAACAAACACTTCATATAAACAGAAATTGTTTATTTAAAAACATTTAAAAAAATTATATTATCTTAACATAATCAACTTGAAACAACTTTTCCAGTGACACTCACTGGGCATTTTCATTATAACAAATAATAGGTATCTAAGATTTGTAGAATCAACAATAATAATTGCATTTAACTACGGTACCTACTTACTTTATTATTAACAATCCATATAATTAACTTGAAACTTCTTATTCTATCAGTCCAATTGGGCATTTTTATTTTAATAAATAATAAGTACCAAGCTAAGATTTGTATAACAACAACTATTTTGTTTAACTTATGTATCTACATAAGTGCATTATTATGAACAATCTTAACATAGTTAACTTGAAACTTCTTTTTCTATCTGTATCACTGGGCATTTTTATTTTGACAAACTATTATTGGTCATCTGATTATGCAATTGAAATGTTAACTTGAAACTTCTTTTTGTAGCAGTCTCACTGGGCGTTTTTATTTTAACTAATAATATTATTACCTTTATTTACCTTCTTTTTCTAACAGACTCACTGGGCATTTTTATTTTAACAAAAAATCAATAAGTCCCTATCGAAAGTTGCATTATTATGAACAATCAACAATCTTAACACAATTAATTCAAACTTCTTTTACTACCAGTCTAATGCTGGCTTCCTACGGTCCATTATTTTTTATTTTAACAAATAACAGGCATCTAAGATTTGTAGAATCAACAACAATTCTATTTAAATTTATGCACCTACTTATACACTCAGGAGCAATGAATCCGAGTGACTAACATAACAATCAACATCTCCGAACTAACAATGCAAACTTATTAAAATAAAAAGCTATCTAAAACACTTCACTGCATACGCAGAAACCTTTTTCGGCTTCGTATACACTCTTCTTAATAAATCTTAAGTTACCATAAAGCAAGATTAAAAATAAACATAAGTACCATTGTCCACAAGCAGACAATAAAATTAGCTACACAAGTCCAATATGGCTTCTTTAATAAAGCGAATAGCAAACGGACGGCCCACTAAAAGTAGCTTCGCAAAAGCTGTACCTAATATACTTGAACAGAAGCTACGGGTACAACAGCCTTTGATAAAACGCATAATTTGTTTCCTTTGTACCGCGCTTTGTCGAGTAGATTTGGCGAAACAAGGCATTTTATCTCAATAATATAATATTACAAAGATATACGACTATGTCTCAAGATTTTTTAGATATTTTCAACAATCATACGTCCCACTGCTAGGCACGGCTCTCTTCTAATTAGAGGGTTAGACCATAGTTCGCAACAATGACCCATTCACGCGTTTTCCAGAAGTTGTGAACCAATGAATCAATCAAATAATCGTTTATTCGATAGGTAAAATAAACTTACACTTGAAAACGTCATGTTTTAACATCGAGTATATAACCAGAAATAGAGACGAAATAAGGGCCATCCATCCCTGGCAACTCATCAGACAAATGGGCCTTATATCACTATTAAATATCAACTCTGGTTTGGACAGAAGTTACAAATTCGAAAGCTGAAATAATATAGCGCCCACAACTGACCTGTGTGTACGTCTCCGTATATTCCAAAAATATTATGTATTTATTATATTCTGTATATATTGTAATAAAGATAATATCTCTAACTATGGAGGGCTGTTCCATTCGGTGGCATGGGAAAAAACACCAAAACATCTAATTACAAAACAAACGGAATCACATATCATCGGTAATTAAATATGTAATTTTTCAATTATCGTCCATTATAACAAAGCTCGATCAGTGAACTGGTCGATTTGAAGTGAAACAATTGACGACACCCGTCAATAGTTTCTAATTCGAGCTGGCCAATCGGAGCGCAGTTTGATTAAGCCGAATACTCGTAGTTTTCTAACAAATGAAATGACATTTCGTCTCTATTTCTGGTTATATGTATATTCGATGTTTTTAAGCTATTGCCCGTTTATTGTGCTGACTTTACTGAGAAGAACTAGCAAGAAACTAGGGATTCCTCTTTTCAAATAAACTTAAATGCAATACTATATAAATATACTTCGATTTGATTTTAGAGGGGTATATCCACTTTAAAGTTAAAAATAAAATATTGTATGAGTAACTACAAGATATACTCAAGCATAGACACTAATCAGAAACATAAAACAATAAAGTTTCCTCGATAGATAAAAATCACGAAATGACCTCTAATTTTCACATTTTTTCGATTTATCCTCGAAATGCTACAGGTCATTAGGACAAAAATTAGATAATTAATTATATTTATGCGTGATCGACAACTGTCACTACGGATTTTTTTTAATCCCTTTAGTTTTAGAGTTATTCCGCTAAAACGAATTTGGTACTTTTAATGCGCAAAATTCAACATCTCCTGTCGCATGTCACGCGAACTTCAGGCATATATTTGTTTCACAAATTTGGGCGGAGCCAACGTCAAAACTTTTTTGGCATGAGAGCTCTTAAATAAACAGTAAATACATTTCCTTTGGTCTTGCTCACTCTTTGATAGCACCCGAACCCCATTGATAAAGTACGCTACAGTTTGAATCAAATTTTTTTGGAATCTAAAGTCATGTCGTCTATGGCGAAATTACAGGCATATGGGGCTTGGAAAACTTATATCTCAGGGTGTCGGGAGTGTAATAGTCAGATCTTTGTGATTTAAAGCTCTGAGTGGCACTGCCACTGTTATGCCACCGCTATGTCGCTTACCATCAGGCGCACGACTTGTTCGCCCCGTCACTAAGTCTTATGAAAAAAAACTGGTTGCTACTTGTACAATAGCAATGCGACAACGTCATTTTGTTATCTCTGATTAAAACTCCGACTTATAATAATAATAAAAAGCCGTGGTGGCCTAATGGTTTGACCTACCGCGAATCCGGGCTTGCATCTGTAGGTTTTTCGAAATTTATATTTGAAATTTAATTACAAATTTACCATAAGCTTTTCGTTGAAAGTTAACATCGCTAGGAAACCTGCACACATCTACAAAGCGATTTAATGACGTGTGTGAAGTTTCCTTCCTTTTCAAGCCCTCCCTTTGTGAGAGGAGAAGTGTGCCAAGCTGTGGGACTCTATAATTCGTGGGCTTCGTGGTAAGCGACACGCCTATCCATAGCAGTTGCAGTGCCATTCAAGAGCTTTAAATCGCAAAGATCTTATGGCCACTGCCACTGCGCCCGTCACCCTGAGACATAAGTTGACAAGTCCCATGTACCTGTAATTCCACCAGCCCCTTTACCCTTCTAAACCGGAATGCAGTAATGCTCACATTACTGCTTGGCGGCCAGAAATAGGTAAGGAGGCAGTACTTCCCTGGACGAACTCTTTTACAAGGAGCTCTACTGCTATTAAAATACATATGTAAATAAATATCAGACGTCATTACGTTGCTCTAATCCCAAAGTAGTAACTAAAGCACTTGTGTTGTGGAAATCGGAAACAACGACGGTACCACAAACACCTAACCCCAGCGGGAATCGATCCCGGGACCTCAGCGATGGCGACACCGTGAAATCCGGTGTGCAAGCCACTCGATCACGGAGGTTGTCAACGTTATTTCACCTAATGCTCTCATTTAACATAATATTGTTTAAACTTTTTTCATATAACAATTCACTTGATATACCTAACGAACGTTTAATATAAACTAACATTCTATAATTCCATGTTTGATAACAATCATTAACCCTTGCACTCATTTTACATAACAATTATAATAAGTTATAAACTTCAGTGCACATAACTAAATAGATTATAATGGTGGCACTTCACTTGGCAATTTGCATTTGCGTATTTGGCATACTTGGCAATGTGTAGATAGCATGTTTGGCAAAGTATTTGCCTTATTTGCCATATTCGACAAATACTTAGAGCAAACACCAAACTCGCTTTACCTCGCGTCGGTCGGTTACTCGACGT